TTCGTTTTGTCTGGGGGGGCGTGGGGGGAAATTGCAGATCGGGGCCTCTAGAAGATTTTGTGATGTGGGCTCACTAGGATTTCGGGAGGCAATCTCCATGGACACAAGCCCTCTGGCGCCAGGCAGATTCTTTCCGTCGCTGGCATGAACAGCATGCAGGCATCCCCTGTTGTGCTGTGTGGGTTCTGTCCCCCTAAACCCTAAACCCTAAACCCTAAACCCTAAACCCTAAACCCTAAACCCTACACCCTAAACCCCTCTTATGGGCACCTGAACCTGTAGACTCCATACTAGAATAGCAGGCCCGGGGGTGGAGTTGAAAATAGTTGTTACTTTTTTTTAAACTCCCTAACCCTAAACCCTAAACCCTAAACCCTAAACCCTAAACCCTAAACCCTAAACCCTAAACCCTAAACCCTAAACCCTAAACCCTAAACCCTACCCCTAAACCCTAAACCCTAAACCCTAAACCCTAAACCCTAAACCCTAAACCCTAAACCCTAAACCCTAAACCCTAAACCCTAAACCCTAAACCCTAAACCCTAAACCCTAAACTCCCTAACCCTTCGTAAACTATAAAAAGCCGTAGATATCTACTTTTCCTACCCTAGGCCCAAGGCTATGCCTTCAGGGTTCCATCTACGCGGACCCTCGGCCCACCCACGCACTTGGGCTGGGGGTTCAGGTTAAGGGTTTGTAGGGTTCACAGGGTTTAAAAGGCTTTGAAGAGTTTAGGGTTTAGGGTTTAGGGGTGTAAGGATCCTAAGCCCAAATCCCCCAAGGCGTAAGCCATCCTCAGGCCTAGATTGTTCTAGGGGTCCGGAAAATCTGGTCTTAGTTGCCGCGGTTTCTTTGGTGCGGCCCGGGCTCAAGCGGCGACACCGTACCGACTCCCGACCATGTTCGGCATGCGCTGGGGGGTGATACTGTCAGTGATACTGCAGGCTGCGGAGCTGGCGGCAGCAACTGGGGCTCCCTAACCCCTAAACCCTAAACCCTAAACCCTAGACCCTAGACCCTAGACCCTAAACCCTAAACCCTAAACCCTAAACCCTACACCCTAAACTCTAAGCCCTAAACCCTATACCCTAAGCTCTGTAAGCTGATCTTTTGTCTGGGGTTTGGGATGCAGGGTTTAGGGCTCCAGTGGCACTTTTGTCTAAGAGAAATTCCACGTACCCCAGACCCACACCCCTTAACCTCTAGAAGGAGAATGTAGGGAAGGATTCTACCATACTCCTTCATTTCTTCTATGGGGTATGCCCAAGGGGTATGTTGAATATTGCTTAGATTTTGGAACACCACGAAGGCAGATGGAGACTCTTCCATGAGCGCGCCGGTCGAGGGTGAGTCACGCGAGCCCTGGGAACCGAAAGCCCTCGCTGGCCAGCCGCCCCCGGTGGATGAGCAGGAGGCGGAGCCCGAGGGGGAGGAGCCTAAACCCTAAGCCCTAAGCCCGAAGCCCTAAGGCCTAAGCCCTCAGCCCTAAGCCCTAAACCCTAAACCCTAAACCCTAAACCCTAAACCCTAAACCCTATACCCTAAACCCGAAACCCTAAACCCTAAACCCTAGGAGCAGGATCCAGAAGCACCGGCCGCCACCAATCCGCACCACGGGGGATGGAGGTGGCACCCGCGTCACCATCACGCCTTTCGCCAGGCTCCTAGGCAGCAACCTTGTCGCTATTCTGCTGAGCTCATATTGCAGATGTGCACTTCGGCCCCTCCCCCAGATCTGTGAAGACGCACCTGCTGTTTCATGTTTAGCAAAAGAAAGAGTTGCGATGCTTAGGGCGTTGTGTACGGCAGTTGGCTGTAGCGGGCTCTACATCATACTCATGTCAGGGACCTAAAGCATCCTTGCCAGTGCAAGCCTGAGCCCACCAACATATTCACACAATAAAACGCCCCTCATTATCCGTCTTCTACCTCCACTTCCACTTCCACTTCCTCCTCCTCTTCCTCCTCCTCCTCCTCCTCTTCGATAACCTTTGCCCGACATGCTGTGCGTGAGCATGTGCAAGATCGATGGCAATCACAAGACTAGTGAAGTGCGTGTCTGCGTGTTTGTGCATCTTCGGTCTTCTGTATATGCCCTGTTTGTGTTTGTCTGTGTGGGCTCGGCGGGTTGGCGGCAGGTGACTGCTGGGATTTTTTGCACCAGCAACCGACCAATCAATTGGGTTAGCTGCGGCGGCGGTCGGGGTCGTCGCCGGGGTCGTCGTCGGCTGTCGGCATCCTTTTTCTTTTTAAGAATAGATTTGAATGTGCGAGTGTTTATTATTTTCAAGCTCAAGTTGCTACATCCTTGGTCTCGCCTCAGACTCAACACTCTGGGGCAGGCGGGGAAAGGGGGGGGGGGGGGTGTATTTTGCGAAATAGACCTCGCAAAAACCCGTGTGCAGCAAGAACTTACTGTTGGTTGGCAGGGAAGGAGGGAACGAGGTACCCTATATCCTCCTATATATACCCTTTGAGGGATGATATAGGGCACCTCATTCCCTCCTTCCCTACTAACCCTAAACCCCTAAACCCTAAACCCTAAACCCTAAACCCTAAACCCTAAACCCTAAACCCTAAACCCTAAACCCTAATGCAGCAAGAAAGGCTGGAGGCGACCAGTCGCAGGAACCCTGGGAGCCGAAAGCCCTGGCTGGCAAGCCGGAGGAAGGGTGGCATTCCTGGAGGAGCCCTTGGAGCAGCCCTTGGAAACTAGGTAAGGATTTAGGGTTTTAGGGTTTTAGGGTTTTAGGGTTTAGGGTTTAGGGTTTAGGGTTTAGGGTTTAGGGTTTAGGGCTACTGAGTAGGCCCTAAACGAATTCTTTTTTTACTTTCCCTTATATTGGGTTTAAGAGGATCACATTCAGGAATTTTTTTCAGAGGGTCTTCAGGGCCATCCTAGGAAAAGCGGGCATCACTCCGTGGATGAGGCAGAGGACGCGGAGGAGCAGGAGCCCGGTGTGGATGAGGAGGAGGAGGAGGAGGAGGAGGCGGGGCCACTGGGGGACCCTAAGCCCTAAACCCTAAACCCTAAACCCTAAACCCTAAACCCTAAACCCTAAACCCTAAACCCTAAACCCTAAACCCTAAACCCTAAACCCTAAACCCTAAACCCTAAACCCTAAACCCTACTAAACCCTAAACCCTAAACCCTCAACCCTCTACCCTCAACCCTCAACCCTCAACCCTCCACCCTCAACCCTCAACCCTCAACCCTCAACCCTAAACCCTCAACTCTCAACCCTAAACCCTAAACCCTAAACCCTAAACCCTAAACCCTACGCGCAGGATCCCGAGCCAGCGTCGGACGCCTTCAATCCGCACCATGGGGGATGGAGGTGGCACCCGCTTCACCACCACGCCTTTCGCCAGCCTGAAGCCCACATGCATGAGGCTCCTGGGCAGCAATGTGATTATGAGCCGGCCACTATTTCTGCTGGGTATTGCAGACGTGCACTTCGATGTCGTTGTTGAAGCCAACTCTAACTCAGAGTCTGGGTTCAACCCCAACCTAAACCCGCGTTTGAACTTCAGCTTGTTGCAGCCTTGGCCCCAGCAAGTTGTAGCAATGTTGAGCTGGCGCTTCTAAACTTTCTAAACTCCGGGCGTGAGGGGTCCTCCTATGCGAAACAGATGCTCAAGGCCCCAAGCCACCCTGCAAGAAGCAAGCGTTGTTGTTGGGGGAACCTGTGTGCAGCAAACAAAGGTACATGATCGTTCCGGGGATGGAGCACAGGAGGATGGGCAGGAGGCTGAGGATCCACCGGCGGAGGAGCAGGATGAGGCGGAGGATCTACCGGGGGAGATACAGGATCCCGAGCCCGCGGCGCCCGCCGCCCATCCGCACCATGGCTTTGCGGGCTGGGGGTGGCATCCGCATCGCCACGGGCACCACGCCCACAGCCTCGGCCAGTCCAACTTGCAGGTGAAGGATGAGGCGCACCAGTCGCAAGCTTACTGGGACACGGCTCCTCGGCAGGATTTGGAGGGTTTCCCAAAAACTAGGGGATGGGTTTTGTGGCGCTGTCAACGACTGTCAACGAAGATCATGCTTTTTCTGGGGTACAGAAATGGTGCCCCCCCTCCCCCCCCCCCCCACTTTGGGAAGCACCTGTTTGACCGACTTCTTCTCTGTCTTGTGGAGTGGAATCATAGCTTTCGTAGTCCTTAACTTCCAGAGAGCTTTCCAATCTTGTCCCCGAACCCCCCCTAATCTTCAACCCTAAGCCCTGAACCCTAAACCCTAAACCCTAAACCCTAAACCCTAAACCCTGAACCCTAAACCCTAAACCCTAAACCCTAAACCCTAAACCCTAAACCCTAAACCCTAAACCCTAAACCCTAAACCCTAACCCTAAACCCTAAACCCCATTGCAGCCATCGCCCTGAACAAGGTGCACTTCATGCAGCTGCACCGCAGCGACCGTAAGGAGGACCTGTGACGAAGTCCGAAGTCCCTCGGCATCTGCTGGCTCCATGGCCCGAAACTCTAAACCCTAAACCCTAGACCCTAAACCCTAAACCCTAAACCCCAAACCCTAACCCTAAACCCTACACCCTAAAGCGGGGATTGCGAGGCCGCTTCCGTGCGAAGCACGGCTTCCAGTTGAGGGTCTCCAAAGAGCCAACCGTGCTCGCGTTTAAGCCCCACTTGCCAGGAAGCCCTGAATTTTGTATGCTTCTGGTGAGTCGGGGCCTCGCCCTGTGACTCCTCATGCCCTGGAATTTACTTCCGGAAAGCTTCTAAACCCCTTAACCTACTCCCTAAACCCTACATGCCAAACCCGAGACCCTAAACCCTAACTCTAAAGCATGCCATGTAGTTCAAGGGTGAGGGAGTCGCTGGGTACCTTGAGACGTCCGATCTTCAGAGATGATGGCGAAGTCCAGAGATCGACAGCAAGACGCAAGTCCTGCGTGATCTTAGGGTTTAGGGTTTAGGGTTTAGGGTTTAGGATGTCGGGTTTAGGGTTTAGGGTTCAGGGTTTAGGAGTTACAGTTATCAGACAAGAGGGCCCTTGGGAGATTTTGTGCTTTCCCTTGTTGGGTTCCAGAGGGTCATGTTCAGTTATACTTTTTCAGGGGGTCTAGTAAGGGGCCATCCCTGAATTCAGGATCCTTAAAAGGGCCAGCAAGACCCAAGGATACAACCTTAAGGGGCCAAGGCACAACCCCTAGAGGTCCAGCGACGGGAGCGCTGCACAAAGTGTGGGTTCCTCACCTTGATCCATAGCTAGGACCCATCTTGAACCTAAACCCTTCGAAGCCCTCCTAGCCCCTACTGACCCCTACTAAGTCCACTCCGACCCTACTGAAGCCCGAAGCCCTAAGCCCTAAGCTATCTGGAGGTTGGGCTCCTTGTTGCGGGCTTAGAAACGATCCATCTAGGGTTCGAGAATTTTAGAGTTTTAGGCTTTGAAAAACTATAAACCCTAAACCAGGTTTAGGGGAACACAGGCCCCAACCCGGAAACCCTAAGACCTAAACCCGAAACCCAAAACCCCAAACCCTAAACCCTAAACCCTAGCCCTAAACCCTAAACCCCTCAACGTCCTCAGATCTGTGCCAGGCTAGGATGCTCGTCGCCACCTCCCTCCTCACCGGTGTGGCGGTCGTGGCCTCGTGTGTAGGTCGCCACGAGAAAGCCAAACGAAAAAACCCTCAACCCTAAACCCCAAACCCTAAACCCTAATCCCTAAACCCTAAAACCCTAAAACCGTAAACCGTAAACCCTAGACCCTAAACCCTAAACCCTAAACCCTAAACCCTAAACCCTAAACCCTAAAACCCTAAAACCCTAAAACCCTAAACCCTAAACCCCCAAAATCCCCCCAAACCGGATGTGGCCAGCTGAATTCAGGCGACTTTGGCGGAGTGCGGGGCCGAAGATGCAAACACCAGCTCCTCCTGCGAGTGATTTGGGGTTTAGGGTTTAGGGTTTAGGGTTTAGGGTTTAGGGTTTAGGGTTTAGGGTTTAGGGTTCTCGAATTGGACTCCTGAAGAAAGGTCTGGGGTTGTAAAGTGTGGGGTTTAGGGCTTTCGGGTTTGGGGCTCAAGTAGCTCTTTTTGACCGATTTCCTACAGTCAGCGAGTCTACTCTTAGACAATACGCCTGTGTCCAGGGGGAGAAGGGGTCTTGTTCTTTTTTTGTTTGGGGGGGGGGTGTTCTTGGGCCTTTGGTTGCTTTTTCTGGTGAGGAATTCTGGGGTTTGGGGATTTAGTTGGGGGATGGGAGGGATTGAGGATCTTGGGGTTCGGGGCTGCCGGGGCTTAACCCGAAAAGTTGAGAATGGCCAAACGTACGACTTGTTTAGGGTTTACGGATTAGGATGTTCAAGCCTTACTTGGGGGCCTTCTTTTGGGCGGGGGTAGCTAAAGCGGGTGGGGATCCATGGCCCTACATCGAGGTTTGGGGCTCAGAAGCCCGCCCCTAGCAAGCCTCTGCGCCAGGTGCGATGTTGCATGGCCTGAAGGCCGTAAAGCGACGCGTCTGCGGTTTAGGGTTTAGGGTTTAGGGTTTAGGGTTTAGGGTTTAGGGTTTAGGGTTTAGGGTTTAGGGTTTTCGGGTTTAAAAAAGTTTAGGGTTTAGGGTGTAGGGTCTCTGCCAGAGGATTGGTGCCAGATGGCCAGGGCGAGTTTGTGCAAACGGGGGATTGTCTCTAAGTTGTGGCCTTGTTTTTTTTTTTTTTTGGGGGGGGGGGGGGGTTTAGGGTTTAGGGTTTAGGGTTTAGGGTTTAGGGTTTAGGGTTTAGGGTTTAGGGCTTAGGGAGCCCGAAGGAGCCCAGACTTAAGGGAAACCCCCGTGTAGGAGAGCAGGGGTGTAGGGGCGGAAGGCTCATATCAAGCCTTCAACCTGCCCACAGCCGCAAAGCCAGCAAAGGCTACAGTGAACCCCTGAACTTGGGATGTTCCCCCCTTTATGCTAATAGTCCTTAATAGGGATTCTAGTACCCTCTACTTTAATCCCCCACTAAGGAACTGTTGGTATAAGGGGGAACATGCCAACCCTTATCTTAGAAACCCTAAGAACCCGAAGCCCGAGCTTTGAGAACCCTTCAGAACTTCAGCCCGGAGCTCTAAACCCGAAACCCCAAACCCTACACCCTAAGCCCTAAACCCTAAGCCCTAAACCCTAAACCCTAAACCCTAAACCCTAAACCCCCAAACCCCTAAACCCAGGGCTCCAAGCTTCCCAAGGTATACGCCCCACATGATGGGCGCCCAGTTCAACGACAAGTACAGCTCGCCTCAGACTCAGATCCCAGGAGTGGGTTTAGGGTTTAGGGTTTAGGGTTTAGGGTTTAGGGTTTGGTTTAGGGTTTAGGGCGGGCTGTTAAGGTCACCTATGGGTTTTAGGGTTAATAGTGTTTAGGGGTTTCAGGGCTTTTGGGGTTAATAGGGCTTTTAAGGTTACCTAGGTGTTTTAGGGTTACCAGGGTTTAGGGATTTCAGGGCTTTTGGGGTTAATAGGGCTTTTAAGGTTACTAGGGGTTTTAGGGTTAATAGTTTTAGGGTTTAGGAGAAGATCATGCATCATGATGCCCTAAACTAGCTTCATGGTCTCTGTGTGGGTTGGCTGATTGATGTGTTCATCTCGTCCTGAGTCAAGCCTTTTCCGCTTGTGAAGCCAGGTTCCTCTCCAGCCTCTATGGTGGCCGCCTCAGTGAGTCCCCTAAGCCCCTAAACCCCTAAATCCCTAAGCCCCTAAACCCTTAAGCCCTAAACCCCCAAACCCCTAAACCCGAGGCGGTCGATATAGAGTGGGGGCTTCCTGGGTTTAGGGCTTAGGGTTTGGGGTTTAGGGTTTAGGGCCTGAGGACAGAGGGATGCGGAGCTTGCTTTGGTAAGTTTCCGGGGTTCTAGGGTTTAGGGGTTTAGGGGTTTTAGGGGTTTAGGGGGAAGGGTTAAGGGTTTAGGGGTTTAGGGCTAGGGTTTAGGATTTGGGGCTTCAGTACGGTGTTGGTACACCCTTTGGGCGGAAATGATGGTTGTTTTCCACATGTCCGTGGGCGATCACGAAGCTGGTCTGCCCCACGTTGTCAATAGTTTTCAATAGTCTAGCATCACTTCTCTAGTTGTGTCCCGAGAGGCCCGAGAGGTTTAGGGTTTAGGGTTTGGGGTTTGGGGTTTGGGGTACAGGGCTGTGGGGTTTCGAGGTTTCCGATTTGGGCTTGTACGCTCTTGGACTTAACCTCCCGCAGCAAGTCCCAACCTGAACATCCTCAACCCTTAAACCCCGAAAACCCTGTTTCAACCCAACAAATCCCAAAACACCCATGCCTCTGCATGCCTGATCCGCCAGTTCGGGACCTGGATATTATTGCCGGGACCTCGGGCAAAACGCAGTTGATTGAAGCACAAGCCTGGCGCAAGTTTTGTTGCTTAGCACCGTGCAGACTTGGGTTTCGGGTTTAGGGTTTAGGGTTTAGGGTTTAGGGTTTAGGGTTGGTTTAGGGTTTAGGGTTTAGGGTTTAGGGTTTAGGGTTTAGGGTTTAGGGTTTAGGGTTTAGGGTTTAGGGTTTAGGGTTTAGGGTTTAGGGTTTAGGGTTTAGGGCTTAGGGTTTTGGACCCACAGTAGACCCTTAGGTTCATTGATAAACCCCTTTACACCAAGAGGGTACCTAGGTTACTCTGGGGTCTGGCCTAAGATGAGCCCCTACAGCCCAAAATGGGTTTAGGGTTTAGGGTTTTAGGGTTTAGGGTTTAGGGTTTAGGGTTTAGGGTTTAGGGTGTGGGGTTTAGGGTTTAGGGTTTAGGGCATCCTCCCACCTCCCCTCAAAATAGCAGCTGACCCACACGAGGCCTCAACCCTCCCAAGACCACCAAAAGAATAAGGGGCCACATTGGGACAGGGACCCAAAATGGGACCACAGATAGGGTTTAGGCTTCAGGGTTAGGGTTTGGGGTTTGGGGTTTGGGGGCTTTTCGGCGGAGGGTTCAGGGTTTACCGACACGCGCTCCTGTCGGCTTTGGCTGTGGAGCTCTGTCAACCCGAAACCAGTGTTTAGGGAACCTCAACCCCAAACCCTAAACTCGAAGTTTTGGGGTCGGGCGGGGGGGGGGGTTCAGGGGTGCGAAACGACCTCATTTCTCGGTCGGTAGGACGATTTTGGACAACGGGCGCTTAAGGCCTTCTGTTCACTCTCACATATGGTTTGGGGGTTAAGGTTTTTAAAGTTTTTTGGGCCCAGGCAATTTGGAGATGATGGGAGCCCTAAACCCTAAACCCTAAAGCCTAAACCCTAAACCCTAAACCCTAAACCCTACACCCTACACCCTACACCCTACACCCTACACCCTAAACCCTAAACCCTAAGCCCTAAACCCTAACCTCGACTTCCGCCCTGAGCCTGGAGACTGAGGCGACCCAGCTCGGGGCCAACGCTGTGCGCCTGTCTGCCCCGGTGCGCCTGCTGGACCCTATGTTTGGGTTTAGGGTTTAGGGTTTGGGGTTTAGGGTTTAGGGTTTAGGGTTTAGGGTAGAGGTTCAGGGAATTTTCGTCAGGGTCTGCGGATTGGGTTTTAGGGGTTGGGTTCTAAAGACATTTCCGGAGCGCGAAGCCCAAAACCCTGGATGTTGGTTTCGTCTTCTGGCGATCGGGTGTTGCGGCCAGGAGCTTAAGGAGAAAGACTAGCTACGGCTCCTACGAAGGATTACAAAGACCCAACGCAGTGTTGCAGATTTAAGGAACCTTAGAAATCACATACTTTGTTAAGGGCACTGAGGGAACGGAGGGACGCTCAGTTCTTGAAGGTGCACCCTGAAGAGTCCTGGCAGCATTCTGACAAGGACTCAGCACAAGGAACCATCATTACCCTAAGCCCCAGACCCCATAAACCCCTAAACCCCTAGACCACCCCCAAATCCCCAAACCCCTACAAACTGCAGCCTCCCAGCCCATCTGCTGAAGGGCTGAGACGACCCGAGCAGAAAGTGTTGAGGGGTTTAGGGTTCGTTTAGGGGCTTCGACTCTGGGGCTTGTGGTGTTTAGGGTTTAGGGTTTTGTGCGGTTTCGGGGGTAGGACTCCCAAACCTCACCCCAAAGTTGTGCCCTAGAAGAAGGGACTACTTTGGGTACTGCACCCCCTTTGTGAGGAGGCTTGGGACCCCCCTAACCCTAAACCCTAAACCCTCAACCCTAGATCCTAAACCCTAAACTCTCAACCCTAAACCCTAAACCCGAAAAAGGTGATTCCAGTAAAAAAAAAACCCTAAACCCTAAACCCTAAACCCTAAACCCTAAACCCTAAACCCTAAACCCTAAACCCTAAACCCTAAACCCTAAACCCTAAACCCTAAACCCTAAACCCTAAACCCTAAACGGCCAGAATTTCTTCCTCCCCGACTCGGGGAGCTGGAAGCCGTTTCTGGACGAGTGCGCGCGGCGAAATCTGCTGCTCGGACAGGAGGTGCAGAGTGTGGGTTTAGGGTTTAGGGTTTAGGGTGTAGGGTTTAGGGTTTAGGGTTTAGGGTTTGGGGTTTAGGGTTTAGGGTGTAGGGTTTAGGGTGTAGGGTTGGGGTTTAGGGTTTAGGGTGTTTAGGATTTCTGGGTGTTAGGGCTCAGGGTCTTGGGGCCTTGGGGGCTTCATGTGTTTGCAGGTTTTCAGGGTTTGAGGGTTTTGCTGTTTCCGGGTTTCGGGGTTTCAAGTCTTGAGGGTTGTAATTAGTGTTCAGGGTTTTAGGGTCCCTAAACCCTAAACCCTAAACCCAAACCCTAAACCCTAAACCCTAAATCCTAAACCCTAAACCCTAAACCCTAAATCCTAAACCCTAAACCCTAAACCCTAAACCCTAAACCCTAAACCCTAAACCCTAAACCCTAAACCCTAAACCCTAAACCCTAAGGGTCGCAGGCTTCAGTGCTTAAGGGGACTCCAGCGCCTTCACCCCAATGTTCCACCCAACGTTCCACCCAGGTCGGTGATTCCAACGACTGGCCCTTGGCGCTCAGGGATATTTGGGTTTTACAGGGTTTAGGGTTTAGGGTTTAGGGTTTAGGGTTTAGGGAATATAGGGGCCGGAATATTCGCATTCCCTTATGGTCCCGTTGTAATTATACCATCGTAACCCCCCAAAACCCTATTCCAATTATTCAGGCCCCTACATTAGGGCTGTTTTTAGGGTGAGTCCCGGTGTTTTTGGAGTGCTCTGAAGGGCTTACGGCCTTTTTTGGGGGGGCCTTTTGGGCCCTGTGGCGGATTTTCGAGGGCTTGTGGGCGTGGACATGATTTGGGATGTGTGGGGCCTTCTTTTTTTGTTTGGGTTGTTTCTTTTGGTGGCTTTTTCAAGGCTTCGATGGATTTTAGGGCCTGTCGGTTCGCTGTTAGCGATTTCTTTTTTTGGGGGGGGAGGGGCTCTGACGGTCAGGCTCCGGCGTTCAACCCCCCTCCAGAGAGCCCCAAGCCCTCAACCCTAAACCCTAGTTAAACCCTACACTAAACCCTTAACCCTAAACCCTAAACCCTAAACCGCACCCCTGAAACCCTCAAAAGCCGCGCGACTCGAAAGCCCCAAACGCCAAACCCCAAAACCCAACCCCCGAGCCCCGACCCCCAACCCCCAAACCCTAAATCCTAAACCCTAAACCCTAAACCCTAAACCCTAAACCCTAAACCCTAAACCCTAGACCCCTAAACCCTAAACCCAGCAACCTTGCGTGTCTTCTTGCCTCTGAGGTTCTCGATCTACGACTACTTGGCGGAAGGGCTGGCGCGGCCCTCGGGGCTTGAGGGGTCTACTTTGGGGTTGAGGGTTTCGGGTTTAGGGCTTTTCGGGTTTAGGGTTTAGGGTTTAGGGTTTAGGGTTTAGGGTTTAGGGCTTGGGGTTTAGGGCTCGGGGTTTAGGGCTTGGGGCTTAGGGCTTGGGGTTTAGGGTTTAGGGCTTGGGGTTCAGGGTTCAGAGCCAGCACGCAACCCTTGTAGGGGACTCCTAGGAGCTCAGGGGCCCTTTTTTTTTCCTCTTGGTTTTGGCGATTGAGGGTTTGGAGTTAACCTGAAGCCCCAAGCCTCTAAACCCATGTTTCCCTGCCCTAAACCCTAAACCCTAAACCCTAAACCCTAAACCCTAAACCCTAAACCCTAAACCCTAAACCCTAAACCCTAAACCCTAAACCCTAAACCCTAAACCCTAAACCCTAAACCCTAAACCCTAAGCCATAAACCCTAAACCCTAAACCCTAAACCCTAAACCCTAAACCCTAAACCCTAAACCCTAAACCCTAAACCCTAAACCCTAAACCCTAAACCCTAAACCCTAAACCCTAAACCCTAAACCCTAAACCCTAAACCCTAAACCCTAAGCCCTAAACCCTAAACCCTAAGCCCCAAACCCCAAACCCTAAACCCCAAACCCTAAACCCCAAACCCTAAACTCTAAACCCTAAACCCCAAACCCTAAACCCTAAACCCCAAAGACTTAGGCAGCCAGCGAGATGGAGTCTCTCATCCAAGAGAGCCTCGGCTTGATGAGAGGCCATCCCTGGGGATGCAGAGGCCTTTAAAGGGCTTCCTGAGGCATAGGGTTTCGGGGTTTAGGGTTTAGGGTTTAGGGTTTAGGGTTTAGGGTTTTAGGGTTTTAGGGTTTTAGGGTTTTAGGGTTTTAGGGTTTTAGGGTTTTAGGGTTTTAGGGTTTTAGGGTTTTAGGGTTTTATGCACACACGCATGTCAGCAAGTGCACGGCGGAGAGCAGTGCAGCTCGCTGTCCCGGTAGGTTGGTCCTTGGGTAGCCTCTGTGGGCTAAACTAAGAAAAGAAGTGACGCCCTGTCACTGACGCCGAAGCTTCTGAAATGGACGCATGAGCTGTGAAACCTTGGCGCAAAATCGGCCGGCCGTGAAGTCCTGTAGAATAGTACGACCCTCAAACCACAACCCGGTATCAAGCCCAACACGGATACCATCGAGAGGGAAACCGAAAGCCAGGTCGACGCGGGAGACCCTGTACAAAAGCCTGTCGTCCAAACTAAGAAGCCTTATAAGCAACTTAGCAGCCCTCCGAAACAGCCGTAGTTGTTCTGCAACTGTCAAAGGGGCTACAAAACAGTCATCAGCGCGGAATCTGCTGCCATCTCTCGTTAGGGGCCCAAAGTTACAAGCATACATGGCGAGAAGCTCGAGCCAACTAACCTCAAAGACTTGATGGGAAGCAGCGTCCTGATCTATCACAAACTCACAGATGCTAAGCGCAAGCTCAGCGGAGAGGCCCTTAGTCCTCACTTCAACCTGTGATCGCCAACTTACAGGAAGCATGTCTTCAAGAGAGACGTCTCGTGGAAGTCCAGGAGGCATGCCAGCGCCTTCGACATCTCGAGGCAGATCCTCAGCGTCCTGAACGAAGGTAGGCTTCCAAACCAGGTCGGCTATGGCATCATACACTGCTCTGAGAGCACGGATTTGCCCAGCTGTCCGCGTATGCCAGGTGAGCGCCTGCTGCAGAAGACTCAGTGTGCTCGGGGGCCGTTGTGCATTGGCCAGCGCTGCCGCTGCATCGGCCCTGTCGTTCCAAAAAGCAACCCACTCCTCAAAGCTGTTGCTGCAAAGCTCGGGATCCAAATGCGAAGGGATGTGCTGCACACGAAGGCGGCCGGCCTCAAAACCGGACACCAACAGCCACATCTGCTGCCAAAGGTCCTGGTGCTCCCAGGTAGGCAACGGGGGTTGTCCTGCAAGCATGAGATCCAAACCAGCTGCGATGTTCAAAGCATCTGACCAAATAACAGCGGAAACCGAATGTCGCTGCACCCAAGTGACTGCGGCCAAAATGGCCGTGAGCTCTGCCCGCGGCACGGACTGACAGATCCCACTCAGTGGGCCACTTGCTATTGTGTCTCCAGTAGAGGCGCTCACAACAGCCCACGCTGCAACATCTAAGGCTGCATGACCATGATTTGTGCACGTCCCATCGGTGAAGAGGTGCTGGCAGACGGCGGGGCTGGGGAGTGACCTAAACCAAAAGTCCGCAGGTAAACCGTGCAGTGAGGCTCGGTTTTAGGGTTTAGGGTTTGGGGTCCCCAAAAACAGGGCCATACTAAGGGACCATGGCAACTACCTTGGGATGTTTCCCCCCTTACACTAACAGCCCTTAGCAGGGTTTAGGGTTTAGGGTTTAGTAGAATCGGAGCTCCTGGAATCCCCATTAAGGACCGTTAGTACAAGGGGGAGCGTCCCAAGGGCCACCCTTAGATTGGGGCTTCCTAGGGAGCTTCTCAGGTGTGTTTTTCTTGGGTGGGTGTTGGGCTTTCAGGGTTGTCGAGGAGGGGACTTTGCGGTTTTAGGGCTCAGGGTTTAGGGCTTAGGGCTTAGGGCTTAGGGTTTCGGGTTTAAGCTTCCATGGGTTTTCACATGCCATTCAGGCTTGGAGGCTCCTGCCCTGAGCAACCTTAGCGTCGGAACGCGCCCGTGGGATGTCGAGCGCACCCTAACAACCTAGAAACCTGAAGCACGGATTTTAGCTCTTCAGAAAAGCCTTGAACCCCCAAACCCTAAACCCTACACCCTAAACCCTAAACCCCAAATCCTAAACCCTAAGCCCGAAACCCAATGGCTCAAGCAAGCCCGGGTGCTGCCCTGGGGCCTCGGAGCCCTCCAGCCGCATAGCCCTAAACCCTAAACCCTAAGGCCCAAGCCCTAAGCCCTAAGCCCTAAGCCCTAAGCCCTAAGCCCTAAGCCCTAAGCCCTAAGCCCTAAGCCCTAAGCCCTAAGCCCTAAGCCCCCCTAACTAAGCCCTAAGCCCTAAGCCCTAAGCCCTAAGACCTAAGCCCTAAGCCCTAAGCCCTAAGCCCTAAGCCCTAAGCCCTAAGCCCTAAGCCCTAAGCCCTAAGCCCTAAGCCCTAAGCCCTAAGCCCGAAGCCTAAGCCCTAAGCCTTAAGCCCTAAGCCCTAAGCCCTAAGCCCTAAGCCCTAAGCCCTAAGCCCTAAGCCCTAAGCCCTAAGCCCTAAGCCCTAAGCCCTAAGCCCTAAGCCCTAAGCCCTAAGCCCTAAGCCCTAAGCCCTCCCCCAAGAGCACACAACGCCCTGTATAGTTCCAAACCTTCATTCTGAGACTCCTTGGGGATTTTTAGGGTTTAGGGTTTTGGGGTTTAGGGGTTTGGGGTTTAGGGGTTTGGGGTTTTGGGATGGTTTAGGGTGTATGCTTCAGGGTTGAGGGTTTGAGGCTTAGGAAGAAGAATGGCCTGAAGCCGTAGCCTTAAATCCAGAGCTCCTAAACCCTAAACTTTAAACACCTTACAAACCCTATAAACCCTACGAAGCCCTATGAATCCCTATGAATCCCTATGGAGCACTATAAGCCCCATAAGCCCGAGAAGCCCTACAGGCCTCTCTGAAACACTACAGGCCCTTTAAAAACCTAAACCCTAGCCCTGACCTCCAAACCCCAAACCCCAAACCCCAAACCCTAAACCCTAAACCCCAAACCCCAAACCCCAAACCCCACACCCCACACCCCAAACCCCAAACCCTAAACCCTAAACCCCAAACCCCAAACCCCACACCCCAAACCCCAAACCCCAAACCCGAAACCGCAAACCCCAAACCCCTAAACCCTAAACTCTAAACCCTAAACCCTAAACCCTAAACCCTAAACCCTAAACCCCAAACCCCAAACCCCAAACCCCAAACCCCAAACCCTAAACCCTAAACCCTAAACCCTAAACCCCAAACCCCAAACCCCAAACCCCAAACCCCAAACCCCAAACCCTAAACCCTAAACCCTAAACCCTAAACCCTAAACCTCCCAGAAAGCCAAGGAAGTTGGGGCCCTTCATGAGGCCAGGGATGCGGTCCCAAGGAATAACTCGCAGGGTTTGGGGTTTGGGGTTTAGGGTTGAAGCCCTAAGCTCCAACCCCTAAACCCTAACCCCAAACCCTAAACCCTAAACCCTAAACCCTAAACCCTAAACCCTAAACCCTAAACCCTAAGCCCTAAGCCCTAAACCCTAAACCCTAATAAACCCTAAACCCTAGACCCTGTTTGTCAGATGATAGGCACCGCTCTTCCTTCCAATCTTTTTCTTGGGCGCTGGGTGAAGCCTGAGGTTTACCCGTGAATAGGCTCTACGGTTTGGGGTTCAAGGTACACCCTAAACCCTAAACCCTAAACCCTAAAACCTAAACCCTAAACCCTAAACCCTAAACCCTAAACCCTAAACCCTAAACCCTAAACCCTAAACCCTAAACCCTAAACCCTAAACCCTAAACCCTAAATCCTAAAGGGAACTTGCCTTCGAAAACCCTAAGCGCCATGCCTCCTCAAGCTAAGCTCTGTAAACTAGATCCGACACCCAAATCCTAGCTACCCCTAAACCCCGAACCCTAGGCCCTAAACCCTGTAAACCCTGAACCCTGGACCCCAAACCCTGTAAGCCCTATAAACCCTGAGCCCTATAAACCTTGAACACTATAAACCCCGAACCCTTCAAACCCTGACCCCTAAACCCCAAACCCCAAACCCCAAACCCCAAACCCTAAACCCTAAGCAGGTACTTCATTTCCGGTGGTGGCTCACTACCATGGGGCTCCCACCCCTGCCTGTCCACGGGCGGAACCCTTCATGAGACGGCCACTGGGAAACCATGAGTCTTTCTAGTAGGGGGGTTCTAGCTTTTGTTAGGGTTTACAAACCCTAAACGCTAACCCTAAACCCTAAACCCTAAACCCTAAACCCTAAACCCTAAAACCTAAACCCTAAACCCTAAACCCTAAACCCTAAACCCTAAACCCTCAAGGTCGGGCTGTCAGGGTCCAGGCCCTTTGGGGTTTAGGGTTTAGGGTTTGGGGTTTGGGGTTTAGGGTGTAGGGTTTAGGGGTTAGGTTTTAGGGTTTAGGGTTTAGGGTTAGGGTTTAGGGTTTCATTAGGGTCTAGTGTTTAGGGTTTAGGGTTTAGGGGTTAGGGTTTAAGTTTTTTAGGGTCTTTAGGGTTTGTAGAACTTTTAGGGTTTAGGGTCTAGGATTTAGGCCTTAGGGCTTCGGGGGCTTCGGATTCAGGGGCTGAGGGCTGAGGGCTTGGGGTCTACTGTATTTGCCTCGAGTTGAGACCTGTAGCAACTTTTGAGGGGTACATTGAGGGACCCCTTCATCGCCTTAATTCACTTCATTCCCCTATATAACCCCTATATGTACCTTATAAAGTCTCTATATACATACGTAGCCTCTAAATATCCCCTAAACAACCCTGAGGTCCTTTATAAGGTTCCCTCTTTTAGCTTACAACTGCGATGATGAGGGAATGATGCTCGACGGACATGGAGCCCCCAATTCTGACCCCTGTAAACCCTGAACACCCTAGAAGCCCTACAAACCCTGAAAGCCCTGTGAAGCCTCTAAACCCTATAAACTCCATAAGAAATGCTGTAGACCTGTAAGCCCCCAAACGCCCCATAAACCCCATAGACCCCTTGAAACCCCATAAGCCCTTCAATATAAATCGCATGAACCCTGCAAACCCTTCAACGCCTAAACCATCGACCCAACTTAAAGTCAAGACAAGAAACGGGGGTTTCCGAAA